GTTTAAATAAATATCTTAGAATTTAGAAAACCAGTGAGATCCTTTTTTTAAAGGAAGGATAAATCTTGAGTTAAACCTGTTTCCATCAACTCACTTTGGTACTTCTATAGCTCTTCTGAGGCATGCTAAACAGTGCATAAGAGTAAACTTATCTTCCTGATCCTTTCACAAAACCTTCTTCTCTGATATTTCCTATCTAATATCTAGTCCAGTTTTAGCAAGTCAGAAACGAACTCAGCTCACGACAGAAGTAAACACTCAAGAACTTCAGATACTGGGACTTCTGGTAGAGAAGATAAAGTTGGTTTAAAACAATTCATAGCATAAAAAATAAATTGATAACATGAGAAATAAAAAAGATACTATAAAAATTAGTGTATATATTTTAAAGGACTAAACAGTTTTTTGTATGTTCATCAAAATTAACTCAGTAGACATGTTAAAAATTAGACATTTTTGAAGAGAAAATCAGTAACCTAGAAATGAAAAAATAAAAAGAATATAACAGAATGGAAGAAGAGATTGGAATAGGAATGAGATGTTAAGATTTTAAAAGGTAAGAATCCAACCTATGTCTAATAGGAGTTCTACGAGAAAAAAAATTAAAGAAAATATAAGAGACAATATTCAAAGATTTCTGCACAGAATTTCATGAATATCATAGATTCTAAAGGTGATGTACATGTTTCATTTTTAAAGGTCAGAAAGTGTAAAAAACGTTTATATATAAAGTGAAATCCTCTTTCCCAGTTTACCCCTAAGACCTGTACCCTCCTCAGAGGCTACCACTGTCAAAATTTCTAGCATTTCTTATGTATTTCTTAATTTTTTTAAAAATGGGTTATTTATTGACTTCCTACTTTTGGAAATAATGTAGTTAACTCTCTTGTAATTTAAGCACACTGACACATACACACACACATTTTCGCTAACTCTATTTTTCTAATATGACTATTTCTCAACTTTTTGTTAAATAAATATCCTGTTATAGCATTATTACTATCAAAGAAGTGTTCCCTGCTGAGCCTCATTGTGTTATATGATTAGATTTCCTTCCCTAAACAACTCTTCATTTTTTCCTGGAGCTAATTATTATGTTGTCTTTATTTGCTTGGTTTCTGTGTCAGTATCACAAATCCATTCCCAAACTCTGTCACAGTCACTATATCTTTTCAATATCAGCCACATCAGGACCAGGACTCTTGTAATCCCAACACTATGGGAGGCCGAGATGAGAGGATTACTGGAGCCCTGGAATTTGAAACCAGCCTAGTACAAAAAATCCAAAAATTAGCCAGGTGTGGTGGCATGCCTGCAGTCATAGCTACTTGGGAGGCTGAAGCAGGAGGATCTTTTGAGCCCAGGAGGTTAAGTCTGCCGTGAGTTGGGATCATGCCACTGCAATCCAGCCTGGGCAACAGAGTGATTATAATAATAATCAGCCATATCGGGAAACCTGTCATTTCCATTTTCTTTTGCCCTTGGAAACCACCTCCTGGAGGCCTCAATTCTCTTGCTCCTGTTTGTTTTTCGTATGTTTTTTGGGCCCTTGGGTCAACTATGTCCTGGATTATATTTTTCTCTTCCTTGCTTTGCTTTCTCCTTTTTTTTTTTTTTTTTTTGAGTTGGAGTCTCACTCTGTCACCCAGACTGGAGTGCAATGGCCGCTCCCGGCCACTGCAGCCTCGACCTGCTGGGCTCCAGCGATCCTTCCGCCTCAGCCTTCCAAGTAGCTGGAACCACATGTGTGCGCTACCACACCCAGCTAATTTTAGATTTATTGTAGAGTTGAGGTCTTGCCAAGTTGCCCAGGCGAGTCTCGAACCCGTGGTCTCAAGCAATCTACTCACCTCAGCCTCCCAAAATGCCAGATTATGGGCTGAGCCACCGAGCCCGACTTGCTTTCTCCTTATAGCTGAGTATACCTACCTGTATCTCCTCAAGAAAGAGTACATAAGAGCTAAAATGTCTTAAAAATTTGCGTGTCTGAAAGTACCACATTTCAGTGATATTTGACTGAGTATTGACCTGTTACTGAAAATCATTTACCTCAAAAGTTTGAGATCATGTCCCATTGTTTTCTACTTTTTGAACTTCCATCTGAGAAATCTGTCTACATTCAATTTCTGTTCCCTTGTATGTGAGTACCCTTGCTGCCTCACATGAAAGTATTATGATCTTCTGATTTACCCCAAGTATTTGAAATTCTGTAATCATTCTACTTGAATTGAACTTTTGTTCCTTTCTTGTGCTGAGAATTTAGGCCTATCAGTACAAAGAATTTTCTTTTATTTTATCTTTTATTTTCTCCCCCACTATTTTCTCAGTATGCATTTTCTTCAAAACCTATAACCTTAGCTTGACCTAATTTTATCTTATCTCCTATTTTCCTTCTTTTTGTTTTTGTTCTGCTTTCTACAAGATTTTCTCAACTTTATCTTTCAGTCCTATTGATTTTTTTTTAGCTATGATTTTTTAACTACAAGTATTGTTCTTGAATGTTCTTTTTTATTGCGTCTTGTCTTTTTGCATCTTGTCTTTTCCACTATGGATGCAAAATCTTACCCCTGTGAATATTTATTACAGGATTTTTTAATTTAAGTCTTCTTCTGTTCACCACATGATCTCACTTTCTTCCCAGTTCCTTTTTTTTCCTGCTTGTTTGCCTCGCTATATTTATTTCATGTCAAGTTTATTTCCTCAAATGTCTGGTGCTTCCTGGCTGTCCCCTCACATTTGAGAGCGAGACCATGAAAGATGATTAGAAATTCTCTGTTCAGAGACAGGGCTAGTTCACCAGAGACCTTTCTCATAGGATGAACAGATTCACTTGTTTTGTTGTGGCATCCCCCACATATCAGTTTTGATAGGTCATTCCAGTTAGTGTCCAGAAAAAGTTTCCTAAGCAAAAGAAGGACAAACTTTAGTTGTCTAGGAGCCAAATGGGAGAAAGGTGCTGGAGAAACTTCACCAATGAATGGGTGCACTTTCACTTCATTTCCTTCCCCTCACCATTGGCCCAGCCTCATTTCTGGCTCAACCACTCCAGCTTAGAGGCATTCTTCCTGCTGTTGAGTGAGATAGCTGCCTGGCTGCGTGGGCTTGAGGAGGTTATCAGGTCATTTAATTCACTTTATATAGAATTGCCATCAGTTCTTCTGTTTTCAGTTCTGCTCTGCAGATGCACCTCCAAAGCCACCTGGAGTAATCAATTCCTGTGACTTTCTACACTTCTGTGGAGCACGTGAGCTGCTTCTTGGCCAATACCTCACACGCAAAGAAAATCACATGCACTTTTAGACACGTTCTGCCTCCTCTGCCCAAACACCACTCATCCATCTGCTCTCCGTCTTCTGAAATTTGGTTGGCATTCTTTTCTGCTTTTCCCAGTTTTTCTCCTTGTCCGTGTGAGTCTTTGCCTTTTAAAAATTCTTCTGTCATTATTTTAGTGGGGATTCAAAGACAGACGAATTGAACGTTGGTGTTCGCTCTACCGTGTTTGCTCCAGTCCATGCACACTGCAGCCAGAGTGTCTATTTAGACTCAGTCTGGCCCTAAACCTGTCAAAGGGCTGCAAAGCCCTTTACTTGTATCACTAAGGACAGAAAGGCCATATTTCTCAGGCCTCATCTCTTGTCTCTCCCCTCTCCCCACCTCCTCTTCTATCTCCACCCAGTCAGTGCTCTGACCATACTTTGCTGAACCATGTTCTTTTTTGCCCTGGGCCCTTTGCATATGCCGCTACTCTTAGCATAACCCAACTCTCACTCTCACACCTGGCTAACTTCTAATCATCATGGATTAGCTTAAGATCACCTTCTCTAGAGAGCCTTCCCTGATGCTAGCCTCCTCTCCAGAGCTGGGTTCTCTTACCTTTACACCTAGTTTTTTCCTGATTGAAGCACCTACTGCACTGTGTGTTCCATGAGGGCATCTTAGCTAATTTGCCTGGCACACAGTAGGCACTCCAATTTTTGTTGAATGGTGAATGAATGTTTCTTTCACTGAACCATTTTTACTTAGTGTTTTCCTTCAAGCCTTGCTTATATTCTAGTAATTTGCCCAGCATGTCAGATAGTCCTAATTTATCCATCTGCTTTATTTTTACTCCCCTTTTCCAAATTTAAAAATACCAGAAAGTCTAGAAAACCTGAAGTAAGTAGAAGTGTTCACTTAAAGGTTTTATTTCAAATGTAAAACTAACAATATTGTATCTTTTAATATTTGTTCTAGATAAAGTCAGTTTCTGTGGCTTACAAATTAGATAGCAATATAATTAGAATTTGAAGTGAATCAATACTTGGTGTCCTAGCAGTTAATGTGAGAGCCAAAAAATGGGGGGACAGTTGTGCTGGAAGTTGGATTTACTGGTAATTTTGATTTATTCAGGTTGTGGATAGGCAAATGAAAAAGAAAAAAAGACTGGATTTTTGATGTCCATCTGTTCATGCTTCAAAGATCTGGAAACTGAAGTTTTAAATTTTCTGGTTTTATTTTCCTGGTTTATACAGTTTTAAGAAGGAAAAAAGACAGAACGTCTCAGTTAGAAAAATTTGAAGGAATAAAAGTAAAGACAAGGAAAAGTGAAAGACATAAAAAGTTACCATAGGAAAGAAATCATAGAAAGGGAGGAAGATAAAAGGGAGGAAGATATTTGTTTAATTTATAACATTGGACCTTTCAACAATTAATTTGCCTCTAAGCATCAGTACAAATTTTTGATTCGTATACAAATGAAAATAAGGCAAATTAAAAATGCCTGCCTTAAGTGGATTGCTAAAGTGTAACTTGTAAGAAGTAATAAGAAAAATATGTCATGAAGAAGGCATGGCTGTGTCTCTGGTTTATAAAGTAGGCTCAACTATGAGAGAGCCAGTGGAATCTTGGACTAGAGTTTTTAGAGGAGGTAGTAGAGTGTCCCTCTAGTAACAATGAAATATAACTATTATATTTACCATTATTATCAATAATAATAAAAATAGTAGTATCTGGAACGCGTGGAGGGACGAGGCAGAGCCGCCGAACTGCCGCCAGTTTCTTCCGTCCACGTAGCCCATCGCGTCGCCAGCCAACCCAGCATTCACTACCAGCATGGGAGTGCAGGTAGAGAACATCTCCCCAGGAGACGGGCACACCTTCCGGAAGCACGGCCAAACCTGCGTGGTTCACTACACCGGGATGCCTGAAGATGGAAAGAAATTTGATTCCTCCCGGGACAGGAACAAGCCCTTTAAGTTTATGCTGGGCAAGCAGGAGGTGATCAGAGGCAGGGAAGAAGGGGTTGCCCAGATGAGTGTGGGTCAGAGACCCAAATTGACTATATCTCCAGACTATGCCTATGGTGCCACTGGGCACCCTGGCATCATCCCACCACAGGCCACTCTCATCTTCAATGTGGAACTTCTAAAACTGGAATGCCAGGAATGGCCTCCTCCCCGAGCTCCCTGTTCTTGGGTCTGCCATGGAGGGATCTGGTGCCTCCAACCGCGTGCACATAATCGGCAGGGAGCTCTTCCTGGTGTCCCCACACTCTGTATAGACATCTTCACCCACTGAATGTGTCTGTCACTCCACTTTGCTTCCCACACCTCCCTCTCCTCCTCCCCTTCTCCTCCTATGTGTGTTTGCCTAAACTACATGCCATGAACCTCAATTACTCGTTTTGCTTTGTTTTGTTTTGGGGTAAAGATTCAGTTTTAGTCTTTTGGATCTACGTTTCAGGTTAAGTATACAGTCAAGTATTAGCAGCACAAGTGATGGGTTAACTTTAGAGTAGGAATTGGTGTTGGGAGGGGGTTGCAAGAATCTTTATTTTATTATTTTTTTGGATGAAATTTTTGTCTATTATATATTCTTGCTGCTGTGCTGCAAAGCCATAGCAGATTTGAGGTGCTGTTGAGGGCTGAATTATTCTCCAAATTGAGAGGTGTCCTTGGTTAAACTAAAAGCCCAACCCAAAACTGAAGTGGAAGGGGAGAGCCTTTGCCTCCACCAGCCCCACCCCATGCTCCCAAGACCCTCTGCCTTCTAAAAGCGAATCATTTTCACTGCAATGTTGGACACTACAGGTATCTGTCCCTGGGCCAGCAGGGATCTCTGAAGCCTTCTTCGTGGTCTGGCTTTTCTTTTTCATCCTGTGGTTTTCTAATGAACTTTCAGGAATTTTGTAATCTCATAACTTTTCAAGCTCTACTACTTCCTAAATTTTAAGAACTTTAATTGAAAGTTTATATTGAAGGTGCTGTTTGTAGACTTAACACCCAGTGAAAGCCCAGCCTTCATGAAAAGTCCTTGAATGTTCTCTTAGGAAAATGATGCTGGTCATTGCAGCTTCAGCATCTCCCGTTTGTGATGCTTGACTCTTCTGCTGATTTCAGCATTTCCTGGCTTCTCCTCCCTTGGCCCATTCTCACCCCTTGGCTGTCCTGTGTAGTGACTTGGTGAGATAAATTGTTGCTGCCCCCCCACCCCTGTCACCACATGAGTTTCAAGTTTTATTATTGCAATCAAAGTGCTTTATGCTGACTTTTCTCAAAAAAAAAAAATTGTAGTATCGGAATTCTTAACTATATGCAAAACAATATGGAAACATGATTCTGCAAGTCAACATTATCATTATCTCCATTTTGCAGGTGAAATAACTGGTACTTATAGAAAAGATTCTTCTCAAGTCAGCAAAAAAGTGGCAGAGCCCTGAATTTGAAAACAAACAATATAACTCAACCCCTTTATGCCATTTTGCCTCTTAATAATAATTATAAGAAAATCATTAGACTTGATTAAATGCTTGATGCTTACTTCTATGAGAAGTCCAGGGATGACCTCTATTCTCTCTTTTTTTTCTTTCTTGTTTTGAGTTAGAGTCTCACTCTGTCATCCAGACTGAAATGCAGTGGCATGTTCATGGTCATCGCAGCCTCGACCTGCTGGACTCAGGCGATCCTTACTGCAGGTGTGCACCACCATACCCAGCTAATTTTTTTTTTATTTACTGTAGAGATGAGGTCTCGCCAAGTTGCCTAGACTGGTCTCAAACTCTCGGACTCAGGCAATCCACCCACCTCAGCCTCTCAAAGTGCTGGGATTACAGGCTGAGTCACCAAGCCTGGCCTACCTCTATTCTCATTATGAGAAAACTAAGGTTTAGAAAGATTTTTTACAACCAAATCTTTGAGAAAAACTCCATTCCTCACACTCAAATTTCTGTTCTTTTTTATTTATCTTAATTTTTTTTACAAAGTAACATTTTGGCTTCAGAATAAAGTTCACACATATTTTCTCCTTTTTATTTCCCAAATTCTCACATAATTTTGATAGTGAGTTTGTTCTTTTAAAATACTCTTTTGTCACTGTCAGTGTAAATATAGTACACCAGACTCTCTTTTTCCTTATACTCTATTCAGCAAATTTTACCCATTATGATGTTGTCCCTTTCCCCTTTTTCCCACTGTAGTATCCAGTAAAATCATTTTGTGCTCCAAAGGAGACTCTCCAATTGGAAACACTATCCTAAAGGAATTATTATATTTGTTTGGAAAAAAGAAAGTGATCCTTTCTTCAATACCAGTACATTTTCCCATCCCATTTTCAACCTTCAAGTAATGACTTCCTCCCAAAATCATGGAATAGAACACATGATTAGAGACCATTTCTAGGGTTTCCATCAATGCTTTATCAATGCTGTGGGAGACATTTGATTCCCAAAGTAGTGAGACCACCTACGTGTTAACAAGGTAAATTCTTACACAGAAAATAGAGCATATGACATGTGAAACAGCAATTTCTTCTTTTTTGAAAGAAATTACACTGGATCCACATTATAGAAATTTTTTATTTTTATATGCCATCATCAAATTAAGGGAAGTGAGTAGATAGAAGACTTTGAAACTTTCTTCTGAGTTACAAATAGAAAAAAATGATGAACAAAGTATTAAGCTTGAAAAAAGTTAGATCATTTGGATGATGGAGTCAGTGAACACCGTTTAGTTTAAAGATGATACGGATAACTTACAATTTCAAGGGCGAAGAGACTCAAATCAGTATGTATGATGTTGCTACACAATACTAAAAGCTTCATAAATACTGATACAACCAATATTTTTAAAATATTTGTTGTTTGATTTAATATAGTGACTGACTAGGAATGTAGTGTTACCCAAGGTAACTTTAGGAATCACCTTGCAAGTCTGGTTATTACATGGAGAATTAAGGAATGAACAATTTACTTAGATTTACTCATCCCCTACTACACCTCATGCCCAACGCATTCCCATTCATTCATTCTCTCTCTCTCTCTCTCTCTCTCTCTCTCTCTCTCAATGCTGTCAAGAAATTTGCAAAAGCAGATGTTACTGTCCCATTTTACAGATTAGGAAACTGAGGCTAAGAGAACTTAAGTGATTTGAATAAACTCGAGAACAGAGGAAATACCCATGTAATCCTGTATCTACCAACACAGCCTGTATTCTCCCCACTTGAACCTACCTGTTGCTCCGGTGGAGTAACTTAAGGTGGTTCACAGAGATTTCTTTATCAGCCCCTCCATATAATCTTCCTCACGGACTTACTGTGGTGCCTGTATATGTACCATTTGTGATTAGTTTCCTTGAATTAAGACATTGCCTCTTTTAAAAGGTGTGACACATGGAGCACAGAAGGAGATTAATGCATTGTGGTCGTTTATGCTGAGTTTCAACAAGACCAGTAGCAGAGAGCTGGGCACAATTCAGAGCTGCATCCGAAGCGGGGCTTAGTTTCAGACTAGGCTGCAGGGAGACCCATGGTAGCATTTGGGGGGTTGGTGTCAGGGGCAAACTGACAATAGTAGTCTAAGAACCTTAGGGAATTGGCCCCCAGTGGGCGGAGAGTGCTTAAAATTGGAGGTAGGAAAATAAAAATTCTCTGTTTGCAGTTTACCCTACGGCTTTGCCAAACTGTGTTGAGTTACTAGAGTAAACCTTGTGTAAACGAGAGGTTTGTTGTTGTTCTTAGAGAGCTCTTTTTGGGGGGGATTGGAGATCGTGAGAAGTGAGTGTACATATGTTAGCAAGGATGGCTCTGGGTTTGATCAACATTTGTTCTGGCAACTTGCAAGGTAGCTTTTCTTATTCTCATACATTCATAAGGACCTTAAATTTCTGCGTGGGAGGAATATATCCTAAAGGGATTTTATAAAATTGAATAAGACAAACTGCTCATACTAGTAGGCAGTTAAGTTAGCAATGTATACAATCTATCTAAAGCACTTTGAAATTAAGAGAGAATGAAGAATAGAGGTATAATGATTTAAGTTAAATAATACTAATTGTATAAACTGTGTTGCCAGAAGAGACCATGCAAGCAAATGGTATAAATGAGGTTATCTAGAAAGTGTTAGATTTTCAGAAATGACTCTTAGAAATGATGGTGGAAAATAAAAATAAAAAGGAATAGGCTTAACAGAACAGAACCAACTTTGCTTTATGATACTCCATATATCCCAGCCATTTAAATGACAGACATCAGAAACGATGTACCTTTTAAAGCAGAGGAGTGGTCGCCAAAGCTTCTCTTTTTAACAATGAAAGCTTCACTTTTCAATAGAAGATGCTGTCTTCACTAAGTGTCTCATCTCTGGGACTAAACATGGCTCAAAAGACTAGTCTCATAACCACTAATTTTCTTTCTGCTTCAGCATGCATTTCTCAGGCCAGTAAGTAAGGTTTTCTTTTTAATTTTTAACTGCAGGTCGTTTCTATGGATTCTGTCTTCCTCTTTTGTCACAAATTCTTCATAGTCCTAGCAAGATACTCTCTTGCCTGGTATCCTCTCACAGAGTGCTGTCAGTCTTTCATGTTGGCTTTAAAAGTTTGTACCATGGGAGGTAAAATTTGTTTCAGGCAACAGACACCGAGCATCTAAACAACATGGTCTCACCAGCCACAGAGGGGTTTGAGGCTTCTCCCTCAGAGTATTTGTGCTGTGTGCATGTGGATTGTGATTGGCTTGTCTGTGATTTGAGTTTATTCAAAAAGTGTTCTGCTAGAAGGTTCTTATTGAGACATCCTTCATAGACATGTGCCACCTATTTTATGAATATTAGCTCTTAGCCTTCATCAGTAAGGAAGTCATGCAGCCATACCACAACCAAACAACTAAGCATAAGTCTGCCTTTCTATTTAATGTTGTGGTCTCCAAACATCTAGTTTTAAATTATGACGAATTTCCTTGCCTGGGATTCCTTTTTTTAGTAAAGATAGTGTGGCAGGAGGTATAGGGGGTGTATGTGTACGCATGAGAATACTATATCAAGATTTTTACTTTTATACTTTATAGGCTTATATAAATCTGCTTACCATATAAGTGACATATTGGACACATGTGGACTAGCATAATTTTTTGATCATCTTTGATATTTGCTTATGTGGCTAAATTCGAAAAATGTTAATTTTATAATTAATTTCTAACACATTGTTTGGTAACAGTGAATAGTTTTTGTTGTAAATCATCCCAGGCCTTAGATCATTGAACTGCCAGAATGTGCCTTCACAGTTTTGGAAAATCTGCTTTTTTAAAAAAAACAGGATTTATTGAGAGGACAAGAAAGCTCCCACAGGAGGAGGGGACCTGAGGGGTTGCTCCCACAGTAGGAGGGGACCTGAGGGGGTTATTTTTGATTCCTGTTTTCTTTTCCCTCAATTTGGTTTCTATCCAGGAAGCCACAGAAGTTGATAAAAATTGTTAATACTTTTTCTATTGTCATCCTTATTGGCCTTGAACTTTATATCTTCTGTCACTTTTTTCACAGGTTCTACCAGTTTCTTTCAGACTTCACTTTGCTTATTGATATGTCACATTGGTGTGTGACCTCTGGT